CAAACAGTTTATTCATCATGGCTACTACTTCCCTGGACAATTTGAGCACAAAAATAGCCACAAAAGCAACACTTTGAGTAATAAACACTAATCACTTATCTAATTGCTCAGTAACTTATTTGTAATTAAAAAAAGCTGAGACTTTTCTTTTTCAGTTTAAATGGTGACAACTTACACTTACCTTCAGTATTGACTCAGAGCAGATAGTGAGAATCTGGTGAAAAGCCCTGTTGTAAACCAGAACATTGATGCTTTTCTCATGTGTCTGTGGCACCTGTCTCGTATCTTGTATCATATGAGTTAGGGGATAAATATCAATGACAGCTGAACCTGCACAGGGTGAGAGGAGTGAGAATATATACATTTTATGTATAGTACCAGTTACTTTCCCTGGATATAAAAAGATTTTATGTAAACCATAGGGTTCATTTGAGTTCTTCTGAAGAGAATAAGGAATATTGTCTGTTTCTTGAGAATATTTGTTCTCTAAACTGGAAAACTTTCACACATGCTCCCCACAAAGCACCAGTTAAACAATGGCTAAGTATTCACCTGCCTTAAACAACCACCTGCCCATCTTTTATGGGTTTGATACCCTGACCCCAAATCATTACAAGCCATAAATCCCCCAGTCCCAGAGTAGGTTGTCATAGAGTGGAATGAACCCAAATAAATAAAACTCCAATTGGCAGCTATATCACTAAAATAAATTCTGGTATCTGCTTTCTTAGAGATAAAGCAATTCTATCTGCAGGCAATGATGATGTCTTTCCAGTACCTTCCTTTATACAGCACTGCAGGTCTGAATGGTGTTTTCCAGACACTTTCCAGTGCTCTTGGATCAGAAGGGTTGCAAAGACAGAGAGGCAGATGGGGACAACAAGACAAAAGAGGGGACAAGGTTTCTGTGATGCAGGCTCACAAGCCAGACTACACATGCAGCCTCCTATTGCAGTTCCAGTATTACTGTGGTTCTACCAGCAGAGGAGCAGTGGTCAGCAGTGAGTATGCAGCAAAGGATGAAATTGCCTAATACATGGCATAAGTCCAGGTATAGAGGCCAGCAGCTTGGAAAAAGGCACACAAGGAAAGCTATGGCAATATTCAAATGAAGCATGAAGGTGAGCTGTGATTTATGGATGTTAGTGAACTAATAACTGAAAATCTCCTCTGTTAAGCCAGGTACATAACAATGAGAATTAATTTGCCCACATATAGCCTCAGTCTCTTGCCCTCTTCAGGGGCAAGGAGACATTCACTTAGCCTTTTAATGGAATCATTAACAGAGTCCAGGACCAGATTTTTACAGCTATTTAGGCACTGCTCTAATCCTTGTTTATAAGGGCAAAGTTACTTCATTTTGTCAAGGATTTATCCATGTAAAATTAGTACATTACTAAGCCTTGAAAATCTCACTAACTTAAATTTCAACTGAAGATCATATCTGTATCCTTTAGTGATTAAAAATCTTTAAAAACTAAACTGATTAATATTCTGGGCATTTTTAAAATAAGACCTAGAAGCTGAAGTTTCTTAAGCTTTGGAGTGCTTACTAAACGCCTAAATACATGTAACAATTTGTGGACTCTAGTCCAATGTATATATTTAGGCTTCTAAAACAAGTTTATTGGCACAAAGATTCAGGAGGAACTACCAAGTCACTGAAAACAAAATGTTTCACATTCATCTTCTCAGATTTGACAGGCTTTGCAAGATTTGTGCCTTGTTCCGAATCCAAGGACAGAAAAAGCTGTCTCCAAAGATGATGATCTTATTTGCCTGGTATGTCTCAGGCCTCTATAGCCCCAGAACAGGTTCAAAGCTGGTTTTTTTTCCAGTGACTACGTCTCTGGGGCAGACAAACCCTGCTGGTTGCCAGAGTCTCTGCCTTAGATACAGAAGGCTAACATCCTTAGTGAAACTTGCGAAGCTCCGGTCCCTCAGAGGTTCCAGGCTCCCTGCTACAGAGTCAGGAAACAGAGTCCAGAAACCTTGGGATGAGTTCCCACAGTATTTTATTCCTGATCAGTTGGACAGTGCATCTGTTGACACCACAGATTGTGGGGCGCTCTGTTGCTACCGAGTTAAATAAGGAGTTTGAATACACTTGTGAGGGCTCCATAGAGACTATACTTTGCTGCTTTGATCTCCAAATGGGAGGAGGGTGCTAGAGGAATAGTTAGGGGAAGATCAGCAGCTTAGTAGCTTTCAAGGAATGACAAGGCTACAGAACAATATCTGTAGTTTAATTTTTCTAAGGAAGGCTCACCTTGCCTTTAGAGAAGCCTTTCTCATTGCTTCTGGTTCCTACTGTTAATTCCCAGGCTGCATATTTTCATGCCTATTTCTATATTGAAATTAGCACCATATATAACAAGATCCACTTTAAAATGATCTTCATGTGCAAATACCCTTACCTCCCACTATTCTGTACATCTCATATACCTTATTCCTGTACTCAACTTCAGTTGTATGTAATCATAAAGGAAATCGCGTTCTAGGAGAAGGGGCATGCTCTCACACATCAGCTGCAGTAACATACCAGTGATAAGCGTGCCACGATCATTGTCAAATACCATGGCAAAGGTCTCCATCTCTCCAGGACTCCTTTGATTATCATGGAAGACCTGCAGCAGCGAAAGGGTCTGTATATCCCACACTCTAAAAATCTAAAGGGAGAGAGAGGGGAGAAAAATCTAGTACTGTATCATGATTGGATTTTCAACTACTTTTTGTTTCTATGACAGTAATATTACAGCCTCCAATGAAAATCACATTGTTAAGCATGGTACATCCCAAAATAAGCAAGACAAATATCAAAGGTATCTTTATCCCTATTTTACTAAGGATAAAAGGCACAGAAAGGCAGAGTTTTGTGATCTTGACCTGACAGGTCCACAGCGGAACCAGATCTCCTGGTAATTGGTTCTACTCTCTTGTGTCATACTTTTCAGTCATGTACAGATAAATGCCAAGTTTAAAAGCTTGTATTTGAACTGGACTGTCAAAGTACAAAGTACAAAGACAGTACAAAGATAAATTTCAGAGGGTTCCGGATAAAGGAATTCCTGCAATCTTTGACTGACAGCAGATGTTGGAGCAAATCAGGATCAGGACACACCGCAGAAGGATCATTTTTATGCCTATATAGTTCTTGTGCTCTCCATAAGCAAATGCTACCGATCACAGTCGGGGTACTATCCTGTAAGGAGCGCTAGGTATATTAAATATATTTGTTCTTACTTTTAGTTTCAATGGAAAACACAGCACTTGCTTTAAACTCTAGAATTACTCATCAGTAATTACATGTTAGCAGCACTTATTCATCCTGCCTGATCAAAAGCTCTGTTGAACTTACTGCTATCCCATGCAAACTGCTCTTAATCCTGCAAGAAATCATGATTTAATTGCTCAGATCCCATGGCTTTTAGTGTGCTGTATTTCCCTGCAAGATCATCTTACTATGCTCTCAAAAGTTATTCTGTCATCACATCTGCCTGCAATTCTTATTCAGCTGCCAAAACCATGGTGAGTTTTATATAGGGATTTGTGCAAGTTATTTGTATTCATTCAATTGTGTTATTAAAATGTGGGGCTGCATTTTTAATTGGGATTTTAACACAAAGACACATGTTGGTACAATGCTCCCATCAATATTGGGAGTGTTGTGGGTGTTGACAAAAGTCATTGAATCTTTGGGTGAAATGCTCCATATAATGTAAGTCCATAAAACACATCAGGACAAACCCATGAAATATTCAACTGGATTTGATAACTGAGCTGCGTCTCAGACAGAAATTTCACATGAGTAATTCTGCTTCCTGTGCTACAGTTCCTGGATGTCTTCCTCTCTCACCTGTTCCTTATTCTTAACTTTGTCACTCACTTGAGATCTCAGTGGCTTTTCTTAGGTGATCTTGATGCAGTTAGTCAAATTCTAACGTCATAGTCTTGGCCAGGAAGCATGAAGCAGCCAGCCTGCCCCGACTGGGGCTGGGCTGCTGTTTCTCTAAAAGAGCAATAATTTTGGGAGATCTGATGAGGGAAAAAAAAAAAAACCCTAGGAAAAATCCTAGGAAAATCCACTGCCATTTCTTTGGTTCCTCCCAGGATCTCCTGTATGGCAACAAACATTATGGTAAAGGTAGGTCCAAGTCCAAAGACGTCTGCAGCAGACAGCTTGGGTGCAGATTCTTGCATTATATTCCTGAAAACCTACTTAATTCACCCACAGGTAAAAGCAGTTGTGTTGGTACATTAACTTGCCCACTGGGGAAAGACCATCCAGTAAGCCTCTTGAAACCGGCCTGAGCATCTGTCCATAACAGATGGGCGTTGTAACACAAAAAGAAGCAAGCAGAATTGGGACAGCGAGACTGGAAGTTCATTTTGAAATCACTGGGGTTTTTTTCTGACTGATTTATTAGATAGCACAATGACTGGCACCTTAGAAAACCTTAAAAGAGCTTAGCCAGAACAAAGAATGTGGAGCTCTGTTTGGCACTTTCATATAATTTCATAAAAGTTTTAATGACATAAGCTATTTACTAAGGCCATTAACAAGTTACGCCCCAGGAAATGACTTGCAGCCAGTCTTATATCAGAAGTGCTAGAAACTACTATCTATCTGATGCATAACTCAAATTCAGCACAGTCAGGGTGTTACTGACCTAGAAATGGTGGTGATTGGTAGAAGAAAGACAGATTAAGTTATCATTAAAGACATTTGATTTGCAAAATAATTGCTTTTAGCTCATCTTGCCTAACACGAAGCTAGCAATCTGACAGGAAGTACTCTGAGGAAAAAACAAGAACAATCTGTCAATCTCATAAAGAAAACAGCTACAGTCAAATTCACTGCTGAAAACTCAGAAAATTCAGTTCTGTAATGTCACTCACCTTTTAACACAAAGATCTTTGAAAACCTAAAACAGCCCTGAGAAATACTTTCTCTGCAAATTTGGGATTAGATAATTTTATGTCTGCAGAGTACCACTTGTATCTGTCCATTTGATCACATAAAAGCTTAAACTTTTTTTTTTATATGATTATATATATAACTCAGGAAAAATTTTCATTTTACACCAATAAACAGAGAAAGTAAGTGGTTTCCCAAATGACACACAGCAAATCATAGTCTGAAACATAACCTAGAAGTTTTGACTATTTCAGCTTTCCTCACCATCGCCTATTTCCTTCTTCATTTTGAAATCTATTTATTTTTCTGTTGAAAAGAGTATGTGCCCATTATAATTCATAGGCAGTATGTCGTGTCCTTAAAAATGCTTTTGATAATGAGGAAGACTTCACTTGTGCATATGTTCATGTTATGAAAAGTTGATTGCAATTGCCAGGAATGATTTCTTCCAAAGACACACACGATACAATTGAGAATGAATGTTTGTTACTCTGGATGTTATAAAATGTTGAAGTATCTCTCTTTTTTTCTCTTAAAAGAGCATCTCAGCACAGAAAAAAAAAGTTGCCAAAAAACCCCAAACCAAGTAGGAGACTGTTCACTGTATGCAGAATAAAAATAAGGGAGACAGTAATGGATGGAAATTATTCAGGGAGATACACAGATTTTGAGATTATTGGAATTTCCATCAGTAACCTGATTTTAAAGGAGTTACAGTGGATCCAGCAAAATTCTGAAAAGGAAGGGAAGAAAAGAAACAGATGATACATCAATCAGTGTTTAAACAGATCACCTTTGGCACCAGAGAGAAGTTCATACATGAGTGTTTCACGATTTTAAGTAAAAGAAAATTTCTCCTGAATATTTTGTTTGTTTTCAGGAAAACTCAAAAGGAAAAGGCTCCAAGAGAACTTCTTACTGAGATTAAATTTGCTCTGAGACAGTACTGAGTCAGAAGAACCACGTCCATCATATTCCTCTGATAGACTTCTGATTACATTTCGGGAGTTTACTCAGACATGCAATTTCAAAAGCATACAAAAAGAGAAATAGGCAGTGAGAAAGCTTGAAGAAGGAAAACCGGTTGAATAGAAAAAATTATGAAACTGTTCATCCAGCTGACAGTAGACCAGCAAAAATAGAAAGAAGAATAGGTGATGAAACTCGAGAAAGTTAGGGCAATATTGCAGGTAGATCTCTGTCCTGGTTTCGGCTGGGATAGAGTTAATTTCCTTCCTAGTAGCTGGTACAGTGCTGTGGTTTGGATTTAGGGTGAGAATAATGTTGATAACACACCGATGTTTTAGTTGTTGCTAAGTGGTGCTCACACCAGTCAAAGACTTTTCAGCTTCCCGCACTCTACCAACTGAGAAGGCTGGAGGTGCACAAGGAGCTGGGAGGGGGCACAGCCCGGACAGCTGACCCAAACTGGCCACAGGGACATTCCATACCATGTGACGTCATGCTCAGTACATAAACTGGGGGAAAGCTGGCCGGGGGAGCCGCTGCTCAGGGACTGGCTGGGCATCGGTCAGTGGGTGAGCAACTGCACCATGCATCACTTGCTTTGTATATCCCTTTATCACTATTATTACTATTACTATTATTATTATTTCCCCTTCCCCTTCTGTCCTATTAAACTGTCTTTATCTCAACCCATGAATTTTACTTTTTTTGTTTTTTCCAATTCTCTCCCCCAACCCACTGCGGGGGGAGGGGAGAGTGAGCGAACTTCTGTGTGGTGTTTAGCTGCCTGCCGGGTTAAACCACAACAATCTCCAAGCTCACTTCTGGCATGGTCACACTTAGAGCGCATAAAAACAGCTGTAAGAGCTGAAGATTAATCAGAAGTAGGTATCTATGGAGATACTGTAGTCAGGTGAAGAGAATAAGTCACTGTACAGAGATATAATGACCTTTCCATAAACATCACCCAGATGTGTGACAAAGTTAGTGAAATTATACAAAACAAAACTGAAGACAGACAATTCTAATAATCTTATGGACTATTCAAATTAAATTGGTCAACAACTGAAACATAAATTTGACATTTTATCAAAGCAATAAGAAGAGAAGATGATTTTACAGCACAAGTGAATATAAGTAAGAGCCTCTCGCACTATTTCTTGCTGCTTGTTCAGCTATTAATGCCAGTACCACATTAAGAAAATGCAGTCACTTAAAGTGACAGCAAAAACCTGGACACGTCACAGCATTCATAAATCTCTTCCCTTCCTTCCGGCCTTCTTCCTTTCCCAGCCTGTGGGCAGGGATGGGGAGATTACATAAACCGCTGTTCCACGTGAGTAACTCCCACACGAGGCATCACCAGCGTGGCCGCCAGATATCGTGTCACTGCTGTTCGTCTGCATCAGCACACATGACTGTGCATGAATTCATGCATGAAGAGTGGCAGCAGAAGGCATGCTTATTTAGAAATTAGGAGGTGACTAGGGGGAGTTGCCTTAGGAATGTTTTGTTAATAGTAACTTTACTGTTCTACTTATTTATGGAAGAACTTCCCACAGCAGCCTGACAAATGCCAGGAATCCCTGAAGCCCTCTGAAAACATATTTATGGGAAAATGCTTCTAGACTATGTCTTCTGAAGTCACAGAATACAGACTATATACAAGCAAACAAAACATATTAGGGAGGAGAAGGAGTGCGGAGAGAAGGAGCTTCAGGTGCTTTTGGAAACAACTTCTTTCCTTCTTCCTGCTGTTTCCACCTTACAGGAAAAGCTGAGCTA